CATCTCCATTGTGTCCTTACAGCAGTTCTGTAAGGTAAGTAGGGTCAGGACTTGGCATCTCCATGTTGCCAGCAAAGAGACAAGCCTGGGAAAGGCAAACCTAACTGTCCTCTTGCACAGTGCCCACCCCACCGCCACCGTGTATTCAGGTTTTCGCGGAAGGAAAGAGCACTTGAGAGGGAAGATTGGTTGGTTAGCACATGGCCGTGGAAGTCGCCTGTGACTGATGGTCACATTTCCAAGTTCATAAACCAAAAACAAAACCAGCAAGTAAACCAAAAGCAGATCAGTTAGCAGACACTGAGGTTTTCAGGAAGTTTGCCATCTCCTCAAAGACAATGGTGACATTTTATAGAGAAAAAGATTTCCTTTTTTTTTAAACCTTTTTTTTTTTAAAGACTTATTTATTTATTTATTTATTTTATGTGCAGTGGTGTTTTGTCTGCATGTATGTCTGTGTAAGGGTGTTGGATCCCCCGGAACTGGAGTTAACAGACAGTTGTGAGCTGCCATGTGGGTGCTGGGAATTGAACCCGGGTCCTCTAGAGGAGAAGCCAGTGCTCTTAACCACTGAGCCATCTCTCCAGCCCAAGATTTCCATTTTATAGGTGAATTGCTTAAATGTCTTGTGCTAGTTTTAACCTTACAACGAACTTCAAAATGATGACCACAGGCTGCTGCTGTTCAGTAGTGACTAGAGGTTCTGGTTTCTCCACATGTTCATCAGCTTTTATCGTGGTAGTTGTTAGAATTCCTAGCCACTCTCCCAGCTACATGACCCGGAGTGCGCTGTCCAGCAAACAGGCAAGTCTACCCAGGGCCCTATGTACTATGTAATCCGTGTGCTGCGCATGCGTAGCGTAACTACGTAAACCCATATGCGAATGTGCGGGGCGGGGGTGGGTGGTGGGTGAGTGGATACCTATAAAAGCAGGTTCCACCTATTCCTCCCCTCTCTTCCCGCAAGTCATTCCGTAGGCCTATGCACGTCTTTTCTGTTCCCTTCCCTTAATAAACTCTTCTAGTGGGTTTTGTTGTGCCTCATGGCTTCTCTCGCTTGGTAAACAGCACCGCTTAATAAATTACAGTGTTCAGGTTTTGTTCTCTCCTGTAGTCAGCCAAATGGACATGACTTGTTTGCTCTTCATTTTTCATCTTTTGGAATTCCTGTCTGCCTGCCATCAGTAAGAAATTTATTTACTTTTAAAAGAATCTAGGACCTGGAGAGATGGAGCACTGGATCCTCTTCAGTTCCCAGCACCCACATGGCAGCTCACAACCACCTGTAACTCCAGTTCCAGGGGATCTGATGCCTTCCTCTGGCTTCTGCAGGCACAGGCACACGTGATGCACAGACATTCATGGAGGCGAAAACACATTAAAAATAATATTTTTTTCTAATTAAAAAATAAGAGAAAGTGTAAATGCCGTCTGGAAAAATGTGATAGTTTACTTCTAATATTCAGTTGAGCTGCCTCTGAAACTTGACGGTGCACTTTGACTCATGTTGGTGCTCTGCATCCCACATCTGTGTTAGAACGTGGACACTCAGGAAAATGGAGCCTGGTGTGATGCACATACCTGCAGTCCCAGCTTGGGAGACAAAGACAGGAGGGTTAGGAGTTTGAGGCTAGCCTCAGCTACATGGAATCCTGTCACCAAGAAAGGAAGGGAAACAGAAAAACCTGGCCTACCCCTCTATTCAGTCATACACTTTACCTTTTCACTCTGGGGCAGAGATTCTAACATTCAGAATTTCTGGTGACAGGAAGAAGAAAAACAATTTTTTGAGAATGAAATGTTTTTCATCCTAGTAGATAGTAAATACTGTCTCCATAGAAGCTGCATAAGATTTTTTTTCTTTTTCTTTTTAAAGACATGGCCCTGTGTAGCCCGGGCTGGCTTCAAACTTGAAGTTCTGACCTTGCCTCCCACCTCCCCCCGTGCTGGACTTGCAGACCCTGTCTGTCCATTTTGTTTTAATTCGGTACTGCATCAGACCCGAGACTCCATGTGTACCAGGCAAGGGCTCTACCAACCAGGATGAATCTGCAGTCCCAATATTTGATGTTAAATATTAAAGAAGCTTTTGGAAAACATGAGTGTAACCCCGTATGGTATTGCTGCCATGGTGATGGTGGACAAGGCAAGACGAGGTGGAGGAAGTGGTGCTCTGTTGTGTACCATTTCATAGAAAACTCACATCCCCTCATTGCGCGCGCGCATGCATGTGCACACACACACACACACACACACACACACACACACACACACACACACCACTATTTGTACTTACTATTTGACAAGGATATCAAAAATATAAGGAACACCTGTGCAGTGAGCCGATAACCACATTTTCCTAAGCGAACAACCCCAGAGAAGCTAATTTTTTTCTGAAATTAAGTACATGCTTTAAAAAAAAAAAGCTCTAGTAGTAATAATAAAGAAACATTTAAAATATGTAGAAAGAAAAATATTTGAAAAGTATAAGCATAAATTACAATAAAATTTAACTTCCTTTGGTTCTGTCACTCCAGTATGGAAGGGACACTTACTGTCTTCTGCAGTTTCTAAAGCCAGTTCCCACATTCTTTTCACTGTTTGATATGTAGATGATGGTGAATTTGGTTTTAATCATTGCTAATTTGCACTTTTAACTATCTGGCTGTCACACAGAGCAGTCAGCCTATGGGTACTCCTGTGCTCTACTTGCAGGTCTGCATAGTTCTTGCATTTTACTGCATTTGAATCACCTGGGGATCTTGTTTAAAAAGTGGGTTTTGAAAGCTGGCATGCTGTCCCACACCGGTAATCCCAGCACTCAGGAGGCAGAGGGAGGCAGATCTCTGTGAGTGGAGACCAGTCTGGTCTGTATACATAGAGTTTCAGTGAGACCCTGTCTCAAAACACCACCACCAAAAAACAAACAAGCCAAACCCAGGTTCTGATTTAATAGGCATAAAGATGAGCAGTGGCCTTGAGGGTTGCCTTTAGGGACAGCCTGGCTGCTCCAGTGCCGCTGCCCTTTGCCACACTGAACAGCAAGACTTTCAGGGGTGTTTTTGGCAGCAGAAGCCTATTGAAGTAATTTTGTGTTGTGGTACTTTATGATGCATTCCTGGTTCATTAGTGATGTATTTCTGCATTGAGTTACACTTTGTGATGTGATTCTTCTCCCTCCTGTTGTGACATGCCAAGTGGTTTATAGTGCTGATGAAGAGTGGAACCATTCAGTGACTGGAATAGTTACCCTGTACTGACAACAAAGGTTGACTGCATTTTCTCAGCTTCGAAGTAGATTATCACTGTTACCCACACCCACCACTGAGTCACACCTTCAGTGATGTGCTCACAGTGACACACCTAGACTGTGGGAGACAGACTTCTGTAACCAGTCCACAGCAGCCCAGAAATTAGATTTCTTTTCATATATTTTCTTAAGGATTTATTTTTATGTGTATGCGTGGTTTTAAGGAAATGTACTTATTTTTATGTGTATGGGTGTTTTCCCTATATGTATGTAAGTGCGCTTCATACATAGATGCCTGCAGAGGCCAGAAGAGGATGTTAGGTCCCCTGGGACTAGAGTTACAGACCATTGTGGGCTGCTGTGTGAGTGCTGGGAGCCAGACCAGGTCCTCTCAAGAGCAGCCAGATACAGGGGGATTCTTGTTTGTTTGTTTGTTTGTTTTTGTTTTTTGAGACAGAGTTTCTCTGTAGCTTTGCGCCTTTCCTAGAACTCACTCTGTAGTCCAGGCTGGCCTCAAACTCACAGAGATCCTCCTGCCTCTGCCTCCCGAGTGCTGGGATTAAAGGCGTGCACCACCACTGCCTAGCGGGAATTTCTTAATTTCTTTCACAAAAGATCTTTGAAGAGCAGGTTTCTTCTGACTTTTTTCTCCCTGTGGTTTTCTTGGCGGTTCTGATGATTTGTATTTATCACCAGATTTGTAATTAGTCTTTACTTTTTCTGTGTATATTTGGGAAAAACATCTCAATCTTTTAAGATAATGAGAAGTAGATGATGCATTGCCCTCGGTGAAAGATGGAAATATTTTAAGACTGTTATTTTTGTTTTACTATTATTGTTCTTTTTGTCCCCAAAGAGGAGTATTATTATTATTATTATTATTATTATTAGTTTTGGTTTTTCGAGACAGGGTTTCTCTGTGTAGCTTTGGTGCCTGTCCTGGATCTCGCTCTGTAGACCAGGCTGGCCTTGAGAGTATTACTTTTTTTTTTGTCACCAGAATAAAGGCAGCTTTTGACACTTCAGTACTGATGGCCTGATGTCTGTATTTCTGATCAGTACTTTTGCTTGCCTTTAAAATAAAATTTCCTTGCTACTTTCTGAAAAAAAAAAAGATGCATACAAGTGGTACACAGACATACGTGCAGGCAAAACATCCATAACATAGAGTAAATAGATAAATAGATGCATTTTGAGCAGATTGTATAGATTGTTGCAAAGGACTGGTTGTTTTGTGTGTTTTTAAATTTTTGAAGCTTTTTTTTTCTTTATCTAAATGGTACTGTAACGTATTAACTGATCTGGAGACATACTTCATTTATCCTGGAGTTCTTCCAAACCACCATGAATCCTGTCAAGGAGCCAGGATCCTCTTTACCCGGCTTTTTCCAGCAGCAGGTGTAGGCATGATGTGTGGCTTTTAAAGACACAAGAAGACAGGAGAGAAGAGCATTTCTTTTGCAGCCCTACCTCCTTCTCACCTTATAGTCAGTCTCCCTGTGGAGCCTGTGGAGCCCTGGGAGGATCTCACTGTGTAGAGCAGGCATGCAATGCTGTGCCAGCAAGAAGAACACTTGTAAATCTGTGGAAGTCAGTGGAAACTGTTTAAGCTTAGAAAAATGCACAGCTGGAGTTGCAGTTAATTCAGTAATCAATAAATCTGAACAAGTCTTGACCAATAAGGTCATAATTAGCTTCGTCTCAGAGTGGCATGAGCTGTTCACTGTCCTTATCTCCCTTTCTTTTACAGTCCATCAATATTATGGCGCTGACTTTACAGAAATACGGAAGTTATGAGAAATTTGAACAAGCTACTGGTGGTAGCTTGTTGTCTAAAACTCGAATCTGGAGTCATGTTAGGAAGTACATGGTGAAGGAAGGCTGCCTCGGAGAGGTATGGGCCAGAGGTGAACTTGGGGACCTGGCTGTGGTGTTGGCACTCGGTCAGTGCCACACACGGGTGTTTTCGGCAGGTTTTGTTTGATCAGTCCTTTTTAACTCCTTGAATTGGCTTCTTGCCACCTTCCTTTTGCTCTTATTGACATTCTTTTATGTGTGGCTTAGGGTGTTTTGTGAGTTTCTCAGGACAATTAGTGAATTTGCTACAGTGTTCTCTTATGATAGTCTCATTCACAGACAAGGAGCAGGCCCCCCCCACACACACACACACAAGTGAGGTCTTCCAATCTCCGTGTGGGCTCTGGGGCTCAGGCTTGAGTTGCCAGCTTGCAGGGCAAGCACCTTTGCCCGCTGAGCCATCTCGTCACCCCCATTTCCTTTGTAAAGTACTGAGAAGTGAGCTCAAGGCCTCGGGTAAGCACTCTACCTTGAAGCTCTACTCCCTCTTCCTACTTTTGCTCAAGACAGGCTCCCACTGAGTTGCTCAGGGTGGCCTTGAATTCTCTGCAGCCAAGTCGACCTTGTTCCTCTTGCCTTGGTCTCCTAGTGCCCACTGTACCCTTTCCGTCACCATCACACTCAGCTGTGTTGGAGAGCACACATTGCAGTTCTGTCTTCCTCAGCACAGCCAGCTCCTTTTTTTTTTTTTATTTTTTTTATTTTTTAAAGACAGGGTCTCTTTTTAGTGTTAACTGTCCTGGAACTGGCTATAAAGACCAGGGTGGACTCGAACTCACAGAGATCTCCCTGCCTCTGCCTTCTGAGTGCTGGGATTAAAGACATGTGCTACTACAAGCAGACTCTTCACGTTCTTTTCAATCCAATAAACATTCTTAAATTCTCAGAGGGTTAAAATTAGAAGGTTCAAATGTGACTGGATGTACATTTCATCAACTTAGTTTAATTCAGTTTAATTAATTTATGGGCCCATTATTTTCTGTAAAAACGTTCTCCCCTTTCCCATTATATATTTTTTTTGTGTGTATGTGTATGTTATATAATCATATATTTATATGTGTATGTGTGTGGGAGCATGCATGCCACAGTGTGTATGGTGGTCAGGGGACAACGGCACAACTTTTGGGAGTTGATTCTCCCTCCAGTATGGTGGTTTTGGAGAGCTTGGGTTGTCAGCCTTTGTACTGAGTGCCCTAACCCACTGGATTGTCCTACCAGCCCCATGTATGTGTTTTTTCTCTACCTAGATTGTAGTTCATCTCACTGAAGACCTGCTTTCCAGGGCATCCATGACCGTAGTAAATGGATGCCCAACTCTAACCATCAATATTTCTACTGCGAGAGAGCATTGGCTGGAGGGAATGCTGAGGCATGAGATAGGTAGGGACAGCCCTTTCCACTTACTCATTTTACTATCAAGAATTACCCCAAAGAAGTGTTCTTTCAGAGTGTGTATGTTTTTTTTTCTTAGCAATATTTAGTAAAAATTCATGAGGTTGTTAAGCTTTACTTGGATTGTATATCATTTCAAATTATAATTTTAGAACACTATCTTGGAAATTCATTTCAACCCTTTGGGTTTTAGTTCTCCATCTGAAATTGAGGAGATGCACTCTTAGGAAAGAGACAAAGAAAAGAAAAAGTTACCCTTCTCTGGTTAAAGACTCGGAAAAGCAGTCAGGATTAACATACTCCATGGCTGCTGCTCCACAAGCCACTGAACTGGGGGTTGGCTTTCTGGGAAGGAAAAGTACATTATTTCATTAGAGGGATATTTATTGCCCTCATCTCTTCAGCATGGCTTAAAGTGAATCCACTTTGCTATAGGGTTGTCCCTGTAGCCAGGTGATTGGCTGGCCCAACTAGGTTAACTCCAATGTTTTGGGTAGCTTGAAATGTTAGGTCTCCACATAGGGCGAAAGGTAGATTCCATTCTTGTGACCAAGAGGAAATAGCTTTATACTGCTACTGTAGCACCTGATCCTCTGATGGAGGCTGAAATCCATTCAGGAGATGGGCTACAGTTGGGGAATAGATAAAACCCATTCTCCATGGAATTCGAAAGACCCAGTTCCAAAGCTGCTCGCAAAATGAACTGATGTCTGGACTGGAGATTCAGGCCTTCCCTCTTGTACATTCTCAAACAGTGCTGTCCAGTTTAGGCTGAGACAAGAAACCAGCACTCTCTCCCGCCATTTCTGGCCTCCAGTCAGGACAGAACCTGGATCATTTTCGGCTTATGGCCAGGGACACCAATTGAGGCCACATCCCTAAACTTCTGCCTTGTTTCTGTCTTGGTTCTCATCATTTCCACCTTCTGAAGAGGTAACCCTAACTGCTATCAGGAAATTTGGGCTGATAACAGAATATGCTTCCTTCCTGCTAGGTGGGGCCTTTGAGTCAGCATTTGGGGTACCCTCCAGTGGAGCTATCTGGGAGACAAAGTGCATCGGTGCTTTCATTTGGGGTTATTGACTGGCACTTGGGATAGAGTGTGCCTGTGGGATAAACACAACAACAGAATCTGGGACATGTGAAATTGGAGTCTTCTGAGCAAAGAAAGGTTTCATCCCACCAGGAGCAGGCCTTAGCCCAAAGCTCCAAATTGCAAGCCCTATGCAGAGAACCAGGGAGGCAGGACAAAGGATAATATCCCTCTATTGAGTTCCAAGGGGTTGGTTGGTTTGTTTGCTTTGGCCTTCAAGGCCTGACTCCAGAGTGGTGGACCCAGGATCTGCTTTCAGGGCCTCTGATGCTGTTGGAGTGGCTAGAAGGGCAGTATGAGGTTCCTCCCAGGTGAGTTCACCAGTTGTAACCAGCAACATGCAAAGATAGCATCTGGGTCTTTGATCTCCCTTGGCTCCTAAGTATAAACTGGCTGAGAAAGGAACTATGAAAGACCTTCTTTTGGCCTCAAGAGCTTGGGGATTTTTAAATTTTTTTAATTTGTTTTCTGAGACAAGGTCTCATGTAGCCCAAGACAATCAACTTAAGAAAAAAATATTTATTTTGGCTCTTGATTTTTTTTTTTTTTTTGGTTTTTCGAGACAGGGTTTCTCTGTGTAGCTTTGCGCCTTTTCCTGGAACTCACTTGGTAGCCCAGGCTGGCCTTGAACTCACAGAGATCCGCCTGGCTCTGCCTCCCGAGTGCTGGGATTAAAGGCGTGCGCCACCACCGCCCGGCTTGGCTCTTGATTTTGTAGGTTTAAGCTCCTTATGGGCTGATGTTATTGCCTTTGAGCCTGGTAAAGCAGCATATCATGGTGGGTGTATGTGGCCACCAAACACGGCCAAGAAAGTAGTGAAGGCAGAGGAAAAGGTCTCACAGTCCCTTTTCCAGACTGTCACTGGTCCTTACACCTAGGTCCCTTACACTGGTCCTACCACCTCCCAGGAGCACCAAGTTGAGAACAAGCATTTAGCACTTAGGACTTTGAGGGAGAATATTCCAGACCTAAACGCAAATGTTCTTTGGGGAAGGATGGAAACAGATCATTTCCTATCATTCATAGCCTTTCTCTCTGTAGGTACTCATTACTTCCGGGGTATTAACAACCTTCAGCAACCATGGAACAATTGGATTGGCCGAAAAAAACATGAGCTAAAGCCAAACAACCCTACAGAGGAAGGGCTGGCCAGCATTCATAGTGTCCTGTTCAGAAAAGACCCCTTCCTGTGGAGGGCTGCCCTCCTCTACTACACAGTCTATCAAGCCAGCCGGATGTCCTTTTGTGAACTCTTCAAAGACATTGGCAAGTTCGTCAAGGACCCTAATACAAGATGGGATTACTGTGTAAGAGCCAAGAGAGGGTGGACTGACACTTCCCAGCCAGGTAAGTGTCCCTCAGGGGCAGGCTTCTGACTTTCTGGCTAGTTGTGATTCTCCTGTAACCATGAGGATAACAAGTTTGAGGCCAGTCAGCTACATAGTGAGACCCAGACTTAAAAGGCAGGAGGGCCGGCAAGACGGCTCAGCAGGTAAAAGGTGCTTGGTGCCAAGTCTGGTGACCTGAGCTTGATCCCTGAGACTCATCACATAGTGGAAGGAGAGAGGTGACTTCTGCAAGTGTCCTTCTGATCCCTCCACTTGAGCACTGTCACACACACACACACACACACACACACACACACACACACACACACTAAGTAAATGTACAAGTTTTTATAACTTAAAAAAAATAGAATGAGCACACATACAACGTTCTTCTTGACCAATCAATCACTGACTAACCAGTTACTAATTTTTTGCCATTTCTATATATCATTTTCTAAGATTTATTTATTTTTACTTAGGTGTATGTGTGTGCCTTCATGAGTTTATGTGCACCATACGTATGCCTGGTGCCCACAGAAGCCAAAGGGCATCAGAATCCCTGGAAACTGAGTTACAGGCCGTTGTGAGCCACCTGATGTGGTGATGGGAACACAACCTGGGTCTTTTGTAAGAGCAGTAAGCATTCTTAGCCACTGACCCTCTCTCCAGCCTTTGGAAACAGCTTCATTGAGATACTTGAGATGGTATATGCCTTACAATTAGTTCAGCCATTTAAAATGTAAGCTTCATTGTTTTTTCAATATTATAGAGTCATGCAGTTATCATCACTAATTTCGGAATATTCTTTTTACCCAGTCCCCTCTACCCCAAGAAACACATATCCACTGTAATTCATGCCCCATATATTCTCTCTCTCAGCTTTCAGGCAATGTTTTTAGTGGTTTTTACTTTTGCTCTCTGTAAATTTACTTATTTTGAACATGTCATATGAATAGAATTATATAACTTGTGATCCTTTGTGGCTGGCTTCCTCCAATTAGCAGGACTTTTTTTTCCAGTTTTGGTTTTTCTTGTTGAAACTGTCTCACTCTGTAGGCTTGAATGACCTGGAATTCACTGTGTAGACCATGGTGGCCTCAAACTCACAGAGATCCACCTGCCTCTGCCTCTGCCTCTGAGTGCAGGGATTAAAACCTTGGCAAACAGTGCCCGGACAGATGTTTTCAGATTCATGCTGTAGCTGAAATAATTCTTTATCCTTTTGCCAGCTGGTAGACAGTTCATGCGTTTCCATGTTTAGGCTCTCAAGGAATAATGCTGCTATAGTGTTTCTGTGCGCATGTGCACCTGTGTTTTCATTCCACTTGACTCTGTACACCTCACTTTGTGGTTCAGCCTGGCCTGGAACTCACAGAACTCTCCCCACCTCAGCTTCCTGGGTGTCGGCATTCCAAGCATCAGCCACCACTGCTCACAAGCGAGACAGTCAGGGAGCATGGTGACTCCAGCTTTGGAGACTTGGCCCACGACTGTGCTGGCTCACATTCGCCAGTGCTCCGTGCGCCTCGCCACGCCTTTGCCAACATTTGCGTGTTTTTCATTTTTTTTTTTTTTTTTTTTTTTTTTTTTTTTTTTTTTTTTTTTTTTTTTTTGGTTTTTCGAGACAGGGTTTCTCTGTGTAGCTTTGCGCCTTTCCTGGAACTCGCTTTGGAGACCAGGCTGGCCTCGAACTCACAGAGATCCGCCTGGCTCTGCCTCCCGAGTGCTGGGATTAAAGGCGTGCGCCACCACCGCCCGGCATGTGTTTTTCATTTTTTAAACCAGCAACTGTTACTGCATTCTGGTGGATGTGAAAAGTAGCTTGTTGTAGTCTTGGTTGGTTTACCTGGTGACTATGCTGTTAAACATCTTTTCATTTGTTTAGTTGATCTTTGTATTTCTCTAAGAGAACTGCTTTTTTTTGCCCATTTTTAATTGAATTATTTGCCTTTTTAAAATTGAATCACAAGAGGTCTTTATGTGGCTGCAAATCTGCCAGCTTATCTTTTTACCATTCTGTGGACTGCCTTTCCAGTTCCTTGACCATGTTGTCTTTGACAACTCCAGCCGCCCACGCATGCTGAGGATACAGAAGGCAGATGTTTTCCCGCCTAGCTTCTGTCTGAGGTTTTTGGTAGAGAGGGAGACAACTGTGTGCATGCATGTGTGTGCACATGTTTGTGAAGACAGAGGTCAGCTTCCAGTGTCCTCGTCCAAGTGCCGTAACCTCTGTAGTATTGTTTTTGTTTGGAGTTTTTATCTTTCACTGTGTGTGTGTGTGTGATGTGTCTGTGAGCATGGGTGCACAGGCACTTTGGCACATATGTGGAGATTACAGGGCAACTTTTGAGAGTCCGTTCTGTACTTCCACCTTCCTGAGGATGAAACAGGAAACACTGTGTTTCTGCCATGTTACCTGTTCTAGGTGGGCTGGCCCCCCATGCTGCTCAGGAGGCTGCTGTTGGAGATGCTACTATTGCATCCAGCTTTTACACGTGGGTTTCAGGGATGGAACTCAGGGAGTCAGGCAGGCACGGTAATCCCACCAGCCTCCTGAGCCACCTCAGGCTTTTCCCCCTGAGACAAGTCCTGCTAAGTAGCCCTAGCTGGCCTAGAACTCCATCTTTAAAAGTTGTTGGCCTTGAACTCACACTTGCTGGATTCAAACCGTGTACCACTGTGCCCACCTCCCCCCATTTTAAAAATAATTGAGACCAAGTCTGGACTCAGTGTGTCCCCAAGAATGGCCTTACCTCCTGACCCTGCCTTCACGTCCATACCTCGGATTACGAGCCGCTGTGCTGCCTACCCACCTTTGTTTCCCTACCTTACATCTTGAGGCAGAGTCTCTAACTGGGACTCAGGACCATGGGCTATAGACTGGCTGGCCAGCGGGCTCCAGAGATTCACCTGTCTCCTGCCTTCACAGCACTGGGCTATACACATGACAGCCACACCCAGCTCTTTACACGGCTGTTGGAGATCCATGGCTTCCATAGCCCTTTTCTAACTAAGCCACTCTGGCCCTCTTGACTTTTTGTTTAATCTTAATTTAAATTTTGTTATGTGTATGGGTGGTTTTTTCTTTTTTTTCTGGAGCTGAGGACCGAACCCAGGGCCTTGCGCTAAATCCCCACCCCCGTATGTGGGTGTTTTGCCTGCATGTATGTCTATGCATGCCTGGTGTCCGTGAATTGCAGAAGGTTGTGTTAGATCCCCTGAAACTAGAGTTAGAGAAGGTTGTGAGCCTCCATGTGGGTGCTGGGAATCAAATCCAGGTTTTTTGAAAGAGCAGCAACTCCACCCCTAAAGGCTTTTTTAAAAATAGACATCCTGAAATTTATATAAAACAAGGACAATTTTAAGATGCTGAACCCTCATTAATACATTACTCTGGATGACTGGGAACTCCCTGTGTAGATCAATCTGGGCTTTCCAGTTTTTAAAACATTAAGTCATAATTTTATTTATTTATTTATTTATTTATTTATTTATTTATTTATTTATTTATTTATTTATTTATCTATCTATCTATCTATTTATTTATTTATTTGGTTTTTCAAGACAGGGTTTCTCTGTGTAGTTTTGGTGGCTGTCCTAGATCTCGCTCTGTAGACCAGGCTGGCCTCGAACTCACAGTAATTCGCCTGGCTCTGCCTCCCGAGTGCTAGGATTAAAAGCGTGTGCCACCACCGCCCAACTAAGTCATAATTTTAGCAGAGTGTGGTAACACATAGCTGTAATGCCACTCTTCAGGAGGCTGAGATGGGAATGGATGTGTATTCAAAGCCTGCCAGGGCTACACAACAAAAGCCAGTGTCATTGACGGTTTTTAGATGTAGGTTTTAGAATTGAGCTCCACATGCTTGAGAGGCAAGCTCTTTACAGACTGAGATATTTCCTGAGCCTGAAACTAGTCTCAAAAACAAAGCAAAGTAAAAACAACCCTAATCAACCAAAACAGTATCACACTATTTCACCCAGGATGATGGAAATTTCAAGATCCTTTTGCCTTGAAATACTTCTTGACTCACAGTTATGTGCTGTAGTGTCCAGGATCATAATCTTAAAGGAGTTAGGGCGGGGCTAGTACTGTTTAACACAGAGCAAACAGAAGAACACAGGACATTCAAACACCCCACACCTCCATATTGCCCTTGTTAAGACTTCTCACCCCATCTCTCCTTCACACCAAGGCATGACCCTCATGCTCAGTTGGTATGGGTGGGGTAATGATTGTAAGTCACTGACTTTAAGTCTCAGTCTTTAAATTTGGGGAAAATGTCATTTTAATTAAGAAAAAGTGGTAAAATAGGTTCTTCAGGTTAAAGTACTGGTCTGTGCACTATCAATACTATCTTGTTACTTTCCAAGATCTTGCATTTTATGTTGTGACAATAATTGAATAAAAATAAATGTGGGCCAGGCATGGTGGCACACAGCTTTAATCCCAGCACGAGACAGAGGCAGGTGGATCTCGGTCAGTTCAAGGCTAGCCTGGTCTACAGACAGTGCCAGGACAACTCAGGCTATCTAGTGAGTGAGACCCTGTCTCAAGAACTAAAACAGGATGTTTTAAATGCACTCTCCCATCAAGAGAATGGTTAGCATCTGACTCGGTGTCTCTTTAAACATTAAAAACCCAGCACTGGCCTGGAAGGATGGCTCAGCAGTTAAATGTGTATGATTGTGCAGAGGACCTGAGTCCATTCCCAGGACCACTCTGGCAGCTCACAGCTGGCCTCCCCAGGTGCCAATACCGAAGTACACAATGTGTTCTGTGGTAGGACAAGATACACTTAAGGCAAACACTCACATGCACACACACACATGCACACACTCACATGCATACACACGTGCACACATACCATTAAAAAATAAAATTTCCTTTTAAAGAGAAAGAAAGTAAACATTCTTCTGGTTTCTCCAGGGTGTTTCAGTAAAGACCAGGTGTACTTGGATGGAATCCTTCAAATCCTTCGATTCAGAGAGTCCATAGACTTTCATCTGCTGACTGCCCTGGGCAAGGTGAGTGAACAGTGGCCGGCCTCCCAGTCAGCATTGCCTTTCACTTGGTCATGTGATCCAAGCCACCCGTGTTCAGACTGTTTGTTATTTTGTTGTTGTGGAACAAGTTTCTTCTTTGTGACAACAGAAGGAAACTTCTTTGTGATTAGTAAGAAACAAATGAGTAGAGAACTTGGGGAAACGTTTTATTTTTATGTGCATCTTTTTGGGTTTGCTTTTGGGTTTTGTTTGTCTGTTTTTTGAATCAGAATCTCGTGAGCTAGGATGGCCTCCAACTAGTTATGCTGCCGAAGATGACCTTAAACTTTTTTTTTCTTCTTCAAGACAAGGTTTCTCTGTGCAACAGTCCTAGCTGTCCTGGAACATGACCATACTATTTTTTTTTTTTAAAAAGAATTTATCATTAATTCAGTAAACATTAAAGTAGAGTACCAATCTTGTTGCATATGTCCATCACCAACTCAGGTGACCAGGTACTTTGACAGTGAATGCTGACATTTGAAAGGAATCCTTTCTAAGCCATAAGTCATAACAGTGTGCTTCAAATATTCCAGAAAGCAGGGATCTGGGGAGGTGACTCAGTGGCTTAAGAGCGTTTGCCATTCTTGCAAAGGACCTGAGCTTGGCTCTCAGCACCCTCAGATGGTTCACTTCATAACCACCTAGAACTCCAACTTTGGGGGATTCACACTTTCCTTTGTTCTCGGCAGGCACCTGCACACCTGTGCGCGCACACGCACATGCGCACACACACACACACACACACACACACACACACACACACACACACATCTTTACAAAATGTATTTAGGGAGCTGAAAAATGGGTTAAGAGCACCTGTTGCTCTGGTAGAGGATCTGGATTTCATTCCCAGCACACACATGATAGCTTATAACCATCCATAACTCCAGTTCCAGGGGATCCAGGACCCTCTTCTGGTCTTTAAAGGCACCAGTCACACATGTTGTGACATACATACTTGCAGACAAACACAATTTAAAAAAACATTTAAAATATGTATATATTTAGGAAGCCACATTGCAAACAGATACACTGCCGTCCAGTTCCTGCTACTCCATTTACCGAGTGCAGGCAGAATAGATTTCAGTGTCATTCTCAGGGGTGCTAGGAATTTGGGAACAGTTAATGAGCACTGGACTCCACTCAAAGTCACCAGCCCAGGCTGGCCTCAAACTCATAGAGGTTCATCTGTCTCTGCCTGCAAGTTCCCAAGTGTTGTAAAGATGTGAGCCACTACACCTGGTCTCATATCCACATATTTAAGGTCCAAGAGAAAAATTCACTTCCAAAATGTAACTTATCGTTGTAAAACAATTCCCTTTGTCAGGTATCTTATGAAGATGTGGATCGCTTGAAAGGATTGGCAGTTACTGAAAACATGAGAGTACCCCACTTCCTGCATGATCACAGCCGGTACATGGAGCACTTAGAGAAGATCATGGAAGTGAACGAGCTGACCGATGCAGAGCTGAAAGCCCTCATCTAAGCAGTGTGCTCCTCCGTGGCTGTTAGCGGCTAGGGTACCTACCTAGCACCTGCATTAGCCAAGAGTGGTGCTGAACGCAGTTTCTGAAGACCAGCCCTCAGTATCCAGCTGAAATTTTAGGTTATATGTAAACCAGAAACTATTTTCCTAAAATGTGTCTATAGACTGCAGGTGGAAGTCGCTCCTCTTCCTCCATATCTCCAGAGACAAATGAAGATCCTGCTGAGGAGGAGGACTCCAGGATGAGTGGTAAACGTGAGCACTGAGGCCCGCTCTGGGTTGGAGGTGGCCAAATTCTAAGCTGTGCTGTATAAACTCCAAGGTTCTATTTCCTCTGCTAAACAGTGGCGATTGTTCTTCTTTGAACATTTTGTAACACGCCGAAAGGCTAGCGATACCTCCGAGTTCTTATTTTTCTTATGTTTGGTAATGTTAAAAGGAGAATGAAAAGAAATTTGAAAACTTTTCATTAAGTTCTTTATTTTATACTTTTTCGTTTTGTTTTCTCAGCTTATATAAACTAGAGAAGTGTGTGTGTGTGTGTGTGTGTGTGTGTGTGTGTGTGTGTGTGTGTTACTAAGGATCAGACACGGGTATAATCTGCCACTGACCTATACCCCAAGGCTCGACACTTATCTCTTTGTCCCCCACACTCCCATTTGTCAAGTGCACTGAAGGGGACCGCGGGCTGGTGGTCCTCCCATGTGTCGAGTGCACTGAAGGGGACCGCGGGCTGGTGGTCCTCCCATGTGTCGAGTGCACTGAAGGGGACCACGGGCTGGTGGTCCTCCCATGTGTCGAGTGCACTGAAGGGGACCGCGGGCTGGTGGTCCTCCCATGTGTCGAGTGCACTGAAGGGGACCGCGGGCTGGTGGTCCTCCCATGTGTCGAGTGCACTGAAGGGGACCGCGGGCTGGTGGTCCTCCCATGTGTCGAGTGCACTGAAGGGGACCGCAGGCTGGTGGTCCTCCCATGTGTCGAGTGCACTGAAGGGGACCACGGGCTGGTGGTCCTCCCATGTGTCGAGTGCACTGAAGGGGACCGCAGGCTGGTGGTCCCTAGAGTGTCACCCACAGCACAGGCCTGGCCAGTTACCTCTGAACTACACTGTGGTGCAGAAACACAGTTACCCTTTACATTTTAGTCAGCTTTTAAGATCCTTTTCTTGGCAAGGAAGTAGAGTGAAAGTCTCCTCAGCAGATGGTCTTGAAAATGAGTTGCTGCTTCTTGCCTTTTATCTTAGCACTTCGTTCATTCATTCATTCATTATCCATCCACTCAAATGAAAAGTTGGGAAAAATGAGGCTACTCACCTTTGGAATGTGTCATGAGGAGAGGACAGACAGGCTGACCTTGAATAAACTGGGCCATGGTCTGAGAAATGAAATTTCTGGGCCTTTCCTTCTGATAAACAGCCTTCGGTCAATTCTGATACAGCTTGACTGTAGGAGAATTCCACATACACTTTGCAGCATGTACACCTGGGCTCGTAATTGACTTTTCCTACAATTTTACGAACCAGGGGGAGTGCTACTGGAACTAGTCCAGGGTTGCTATGGTGATTCTACCCAAAGCCCTCTGAGAGCTCGTCTCCACCTTGGCGCAGGCAGAAATGGGCTGCCAGCTCAGGAGACAAAGACTGCAAAGCCTGGGTTATGTGATTTCTTCTTCACACATCTGGTAGGGCATGCTTCAGATAATAATGTTACAACTAAACCCAGCTTCTCCTCTAAAAAAAGCCACACCTCTTGCCTTTGGCAGTAGAGCAAGGCCCTTTGGAGCTTGAAAGACCTACCTCTTCACTCTACAGCATTATAATCAGCATGTTCTGTACATCTGTTTGCCAGGCAGGGCAGGACTTAGGTGACAGAGATATCTGCTCCCAACCCCTCAGGCATACCTCTCCTTGCAGCAGAGTGCTATGCTTTCAGCCTTGTCTCGAGTTCTCATCCAAATGACTGTGTAAGATCACTTTTGTTTCCTAAAATAAGTTTTTTAAAAGGTTTTTCGAGACAGGGTTTTTTTGTATAGTCCAGGCTGTCCTGGAACTCACTCTATAGACCAGACTAGCCTCAGAGATCTGCCTCTGCTTCCCAAGTACTGGGATTAAAGGTGTGCACCACCATGCCCAGCTTTCAAAAAATAAATTTTTTAATAAACAGAAAAATTTTGCAAGGTATTTAACTTGAATATACATGAATTTTAATTGTAATAAGTATTTACCATAGGCTGTTGATGATTAAGAGTCCATAAATTTTGCCAGTTATGATTCACTTTTAAGTTATTACTCTGTGTACATGCATCGTGTGGAGGTCAGAGGCCATCTTTGTATAGTCAGTTCTCTCCTTTCACTATTGGGTCTGGGATCAGACTCCGGTCACCAGGCTTGCAGAGGCAAATGATTTCACCCACGGAGCCATCTCACTGGCCCTGCTTGTTAATTCTAACATATAATTGGGTCAAATACAAATATTGATGAAGTATTAAGCAAATGGATTCAAAGTAAATTTACTGTTAGGGAACTGGAAAGAAAGAGGGCTCATCATAAAGGGCTTCCCATGCAGTCGTGAGGATCTGAATGTGATCCCTAGAGCTCATATTAAAAAAGCCTGTGGAGCACTAATCTGAAATCCTAGTGGTTGGGAGGCAGAGGAACGAGGGTCTCGGGGCTGGTTCGAGCAACCCTGGCTGATTGGTGAGAGACCCTGTCTGAAAAAGTAGCTGGAAAGAGATTGAGAAGGACTCCCCATCAACCCCCCTCCCCCACAAAATGCACAGACAAAGGTACACAAATAATGTCAACAAACTGGAATCCACAGTTTCTTTTTTTTTTTTTTTTTTTTTTTTTTTTTTTTTTTTTCCCCCCACCCCCCCTTTTTTTTTTTTTTTTTCACAGTTTCTTTATACTTACGGGATTTGTTTGTTTTGTATATTTTTAAGACAGGGTATCAATGTTTGTGAGATTAGGTAGCCCTGGCTGATCTGGAACTTGCTATATAGACAAAGCTGGTCTTGAATCACAGAGATCTGCCTGCCTGGGCCTCCCAAGTGCTGGCTGGGATTAAAGGCATTTACCAGAAGCCAGCAAGCATTTCACAGGACTCCTCATCTTCCAGCTCTTCCATCTTTCCACCTCCTCATCTGTGGTGTTCCTGAGCCTTGGTGGGTGGGGGTGGGGTGGTGTTAATATAGATGTTCCAGTTAGAGTGAGCAGTCAGACTTTATTCTCAGCACTCTGAGCAGGGGTGCATCTCTCTGTTGACTGCTAGGCACTGAGAAGTTTCTTTGGCCAAGGTTAAGAGCAGCCTAGGACTGTGGGTACAAACAGGAGTATTTAGAAGGCAATTTGACAGTGTGGTCATATAGCAAAATAACAATAGCAAGTTCTACTCTAGGGCCTATGAGCTCCCCAGCCAGGGGCTTCTGACCAGGATTTCAGTACCAGGCGTGGAATCCCCTCTTTGGAAGAGGCCTCAGAACTAATAAAGTGGTAAATTATTGACAAATCAGTGGCACTTTTTTTTTATACTTGAAAGGACTTCAGTAATCCTCATCTTCTAGTGTCCTATAGAGAAACATTACATCTTTCTCTACTTAGTTTTCTTTATCCCCTTAGTGTGAGGGATGTGATAATTTGAAGGAGAATGGCCCCCAGAGTGTCACATGTTTTTGAATACTTGGTCTCCAGTTGGTGGCTGTTTGGGGAGGATTAAAGAGGTATGACATTTCTGGGGGAGTATGTCACGGTGTGGGGGGGCTTTGAGATTTGGGTTTTGTCTCTCTCTGCCTCCTACTTGTGGATCAAGATGTGAACTCTGCTGCTCATGCCAAGGTGCCTTTGCTATACCATTGTGAACTCTGACCCTCTGAAACTGTAAGCCCAGTTAAATGCTTTCTTTGTAAGTTGGCTTGACTGTGCTGTTTGCCACAGCAATTGAAAAGTAACTAAGGGTAAATGGAGACAAGCAAAGAACACAGTTTTGCCAAATGACCACACTGCTCATTTAGAAAATGGATCCAGAACCTCCTGTTAAGGTTCTGTGCTGAGCTTCAGAGCTCCCCCAGGAAGAGTGAGGCACAGGGAGAGGCCAGGAAGCAGCTGTCACCATGACCGGTCCTGTGCCCAAGGAGGTAGGTACTGGGGTAAAGGGTGCTGCAGGCAGTGGGGCCTGTGTTTGGAGCAGAAACAGACTGTCACTGGATTTTCTTTATGATGTTTGCAAGGTCTGCAGACCCAAGGACAACTGCTGGGTCATCAGACTGCCTGGGGCTCACAGGAGAGCTCAGGGGCAGAGCACTTAGCTCACCTGTTGAAGCCCACACATAGTGGAACAAGCAATACCAAATGAAAATGCTGCAGCACTAAGGAGAATCTCTGTGGATCTCAGCCTGATCTACATAGTGAAGTCTAGCTACATAGAGACACCCTGTCTCAAAAAATTGAAAAACAACAAAAAAATAGAATTGGTGGTAAACGCCTGTAATCATGGCGCCCAGGGGGTAGAGGCAGGAATATCAAGTTCATGGCCATGCTCGGCTACACAGTTGAGTTGAAGTCTGGGACATGGGAGACTGTATCTTTAATAAAAGAAATATGATTGGAGCCCCCAAAGACTGGGCAGATGCCTCTTCGCCCACAAACCATCCCCTGTGGCACCAGTGACCATCTGGGAACAGGTAAGGCCCCACCCCACCCCCAGCCAGTGCAGCCCCAGAGACTGGGCAGCAGATTCTTCCCCCACCCCAGTCACCAAACCAACCATCCCCTGGGACACCAGAGCCATAAGCCCACCCTGCACTGATTGGGAACAGGTAAGGCCCTGATCTCCTGACTGGGTAGACCAGGTCTCTAGCCCCTAGGCCCTGGGGGCACATTCCTTGCCCCTCTCCCTAGCCATTGTAGTCCCAGTGACCCAGCAGCTCCCCCCCCCCTTGCCAAACAAATCATCCCCTGCAGCACCAGCGACTACCTGAGACCTGAACCATATGCCCCCTCCTGGACCAGTTGGGAAAAACAACCACAGGAGCCAGAGGCCCCACCTGGATCAATTGGAAGAAGAGTGACCTGGAGCCCCACCTGATCAGATTAAAGGAAGAAATGGGTAGACAGCAGTGTAAGAACAAATTCACAACATAAAGGGCAATACAGTACCACCAGAACCTAGTGATCCTACAACAGCAAGACCTGAACATCCCAAAGCAGATGGTCCAGAAGAAAATGACCTTAAAAAATGCTATGAAGATGACAGAGGCTGTAAAAGAGGAAATGAAAAATTCACTTAAAGAAATGGAGGAAAAGACAAAAAATTGGAGGAAATCAAGAAATTACTTAAAGGAAGTCAAGAAACCCAAGAAAAAACAAACAGGTAAAGGAAACAGTTCAAGACCTGAAAATTGAAATAGAAGCAATAAAGAAAACACAACCTGAGGGAATTCAGGGAAAGGAAAATCTGAGTAAATAAAAAGA